TCTCATCAGTTTTGGAGAAATGGTAGCTGTCTAATTGACTTTAAAACTAAAAGACTTTGAAACCTTAAGAGGAAAAGAAAAAAGATCAGAAAGGAAGAAGAGGGGAGGAATTCCAACAAGAAGGTAAGTTTCCTAAACCCTAAATCAGAACTTCATTGCATAACATTTAAACATAGAAAGTAAAAGAATGATCTATATATATGATGGAACCTTTGATCACCAGAAAGCTGATTTAGTAATTAAGGGATATACCCAACAAGAAGGTATTAATTTCATGAGAACCTTTTTTCCAATTGCTAAGATAGTTACTGTTAAATTTTTTTATCATTAGCAACATCTAAAAATTGGCATCTTACTCAATTGACATTTTTTAATGGAGATTTATTTGACGAAGTCCTCCTGATTATCATGGAAAAGGAAAGCATGTTTCTTGATAGACCTCTCATTTGTAGAATTCTAAGTTCTCAAGCCCTTGTGCATTCTGGATTTGCTCAATCCAAAGCTGACTACTCTTTGTTCATTAAGGGTTTTGGGGATTCCTTTGGGTCCTTCTAGTGTATATTGATGACACTGTCATCATAAGACCATCCAATTGGTCATATTAATTGGTAAAAGGTTATGTTTCTTCTCTTTTCAAGCTGAAAGATCTTGGTAACTTGAAATATATTTTGGGCTTCAAGATAACTCGCTCATGTAACACAAGTATATCAAACCATACTTTGTCTTAAAATATATGTTTACATATTACCATTTAATGGTAATGGTTGTGATTGCTTCTTCTAATTTGATAGTGAAAAATAGCCTCACCCAATGATTTCACACATAGACCTAGAGCTTAATCTTATTGTATTCCAGCAATCTAAGAAGATATTCATTTAAAGGAAGAACTATAAATTTAACTTATTTCTAATTTGTTGATATATTCAAGATTATTGAAAGACATGTATGTTAGGGATAAATTGAATATTTTGGGTGGATTAATATTGGGTTAGGTGGTATTTTAAATCCACTTACAAACTGAGTCAATTTGATCCATCGTTTATTAACATGACAACAAATTTAACATGTGTGTGCAGCCATGCAAGGATGCTACCTGCATGATACAGTTTAGTAAATTAATGTATACTCATTATACAAGATAAGTTTTTTCTTGATATCAAAACAACATGTCATACTCCCATGCCTCCATAAACAGCCAATTGTGAAACCTACCAAACCATGCGCAAGCTGCAAGCAAGCAAATCCATATGCCAAATTAAACAGAAAGAAAGAGAACAAATGCAATTTTTGACAGGTCATAGTAAGAACAATAAAAATTTGCAACTTTCATTCTGGAGTGAGCCCATATACCAACCATGCTCTTCTATCATTATTCAAACTCCAGAGCTACGAATTAAGCTAGAGAAACAACTTGTTTTTCAAAGCAAAACACACACTGCATAATAAGAATAAGCACGAGAACATAACAGGGTAACTTTGACAGAATTTAGAATAAAAGAAGCTAAACATGTAGAGTTCTTCTGGAGAATGACAAGTAGTTAGACACACTAAGGACCTAGATGTCAAAGGAACCAGTAAAAGCTCTGAAAGAAATTCATTTTTCTGTCTTTTATTGAGCGCGTTAGAGATGGAAAGTATAATGAATTTGAAGGGTTGAAGGGATAGAAAGAGAAGGGGGAGAGTCAGAGAGACACATACATGCCAAACCTTGTTCGTTCGTCCACCGTTCTCCCCCCTCAGCTTCTACATTGTTGGGCGTCAGCTTTCTAGTCCATTCTTGCTTCTCTCCTCTTTAATCACCATCAAGAAAACCCTTGTTTTCTGTAATCTCTTATTCGGACCCACCGGATTAATCATGTAGCTCGTCTCTTCTGCTCGCTTCTCTCCTTGCTTCGCCTTCCTTCTCGAGCTACATTAATTGTGAAATTAAACAAGATAATACATTCAAGAGAAGATAAATTTACTCATGTTATCTCATTGTTCCTCGAGCAATTAGTCTTGAAAAACCACCATATAAAATTAATTAGTCAATAATCTCCGTCTTAATCCATGCAAGACTTCACCTCATTTACGAGAAGATATTACGTTACCCTATTTGAATCCCACCTATAAATAACTAACAACATCCCCGCAAATCTTCACCATTAGACTATTTTCAATTCTTCATTTTAACCTTTTCTAATATCAGAAAGCAGAACAACATATCTTGAAGATGGACAGCAAAGGAGTCAAAAAGGGCGTTGATGGTAGCTCTCCTGAGACAATGGTTGCTCCGGGTACCGGAGGTGAAGTTAGAATTGTCAGGGAGGATTTCGAGAAGAATCCACAGGCTTATTTTGCCCAACTGCACGAGAATGAGAAGGGCAATGATGCTAGCTCGCCTGCGACAATGGTAGCTCCGGGTACGGGAGGGGAAATTCGAATTGTCAGGGAGGATTTCGAGAAGAATCCACAGGGTTACTTTGCTAAACTGCACGAGAATGAGAAAGCAAACAAGTAGTAGTAATGTTCCTGGTGCTGCTGCTGCTAATGCCTCTGAGTAGTGCATGATGAAATAATTATCTACTAAATAAATTCAAAGTTTATGAGCTTAACTTTCTTTTCTATCCAGCTTCCAACAAAACCCAATCAGAATTCATAACAACAATCAAAACTCATTCAAGGATACAAATAATCAAATACATTTTCGTCTGTCTAGGTCGATAGAAAATCTTATTCATAGTCGATAGAAAGTCTATTATAGACAGAAATGTTTAGGTAAAATAATATCCTCAATATCGATTAAATCACTCCAGATACGAAGGAATGAACGATCAATCACCATACACTTAAAAAATTTTCAGACCAACAAGAAACAACTAATATTACCGACAGAGGGGGATATCCAATTGGCGCGAAACATCAAAAAGAAAATCCGATTTCGACATAACAGCTGAATAAATAAAATAGTCCAGCCAGCAACACGTAAACTCTACTAACCTTAAGCGTCTTTTAAACTACCGAGTTTCCTGTGGACTCCTTCTTCATCGCTTCAAAATACGGCTTCGATTCCGGCAAACCGGATAATTTGTAAATCCCGTTTAGAAAGAGAAAATTAAATGAAGAAGAAAGAGGAAGTGTCAAGAAAGGGTAATTTCGTAATTATGGTAAAAGGCGAAGGTTGGTTGTGCAATTGAAAAATAAGATTCAAGAAGACGAGAACCCACGGCCCATCGAATTACTCTTCGTCTTCTTCTTCGTGCTCATGGGCCATATGTTTTTTTTTCCGCTGAATCTCCGGTTGTCAATCATTATGAACAGAGCGCCCATCAATTTCACGTTTATCTGAAAATATTTTGTTTAATCTCCTACAAAAATTTCTAGAGATGTTTTTTTCTGGATATAAAACGTTGAGTTGACATTTAAAAGTTGAATCTTTTCAATAATTAATAAACACTAAATGCTTAACTTGATTTATGATGATTTATGGCGAAATGAAATATTAACAGCAAGCGATGATGCATCAACGATAAGATTAATAATTTATGAATTATTTTTATTTAATCAAATGAAATTTGGATTGATTAAATCTCTCATTTAAAATATGAGACTGATTTGAAAGTTGATATTTTTTGTTTACAAATTTTACTTCTGAAATCGTAAAGTTACTCTTGAAATAAACTTAAAAATGTAAACTTTATTTAAAAATTATGAAGTGACTAAAATTTTAAGGTGACACTTAACAATATTTTTATGGTATTGATAAAAAAATAAAATGGTAAATCACACCAACCATTATTTTTAATCATGTAATTATTATTATTATATATATATGTGTGTGTGTGTTAGTCTATATTTTGATAGAATTAGTAACTTTGACGAGTCAATTGGAATGTCTTTTCTTAAATGAGATCTTGTGGTTACTATGTTTAATTTCTTTTAATTTCACAACAATTACCCAACAAAAATTTGATTATAATAAATGAATTAAGCTTTTTAGGGCAATCCCAATGACAATCTTGGTAACAACTTGATAGAGAAATGATACTTGCTCCATTCTAAAAAATTTGAAACCATCATCATCATTTCTCTTTATACCAAGAATTTTAATGTAATCTTCTCAAGCACAAAAGGGAAGCAAACACATATAATATGAATGAATCATTACCCACTCTTGAAAATTCAAACTACAATAAAAACAAAAACCACATACAAATTTCAAATTTTTAACATTCTCCTTGTAAAATTTTTCCACAAATCTAATTTGACCATTTGTAACTTATTAGGCACACCATTTTTATGAGAATATAGTACAATTTAATCATTTATAGTTTGACTATTTTTTTCACATTTAGTATTTGTAACTTTTACAATAATTCAGTATTTATAGTTTAACAATTAATTACTTTAATTCTTATAAATATTAATTTATAATTTTTTTATTTATTAAAGTATGTATCGATATAGAGTTAACTTAAATTATTAATTCGATTTAATTTGTATTGAATTTTTTTTATTTAATTCTATATCGATAAATGAATTTATTTTTTATTTTAATTAGAAAACTTATTGCATGAAAAGTTTAAAAGATTTGTTTATCTTTTAGTACACGAGAGGTTTAAGTGCATGTAGAAAGGCTGGTATTAGAATTCATATAATCGTTTCTTGCTACTCGACTATATAGGTGTACTTGAAAGAGAACGATAATTTATCATGAGAAAAAATAATGAAAACTATTGTTGCCTGTTAGTATTAGATATGAAGAGAGCAGAAAAATTTATAAATTTTAACGTTTCGTATAAAAAAAAATATATAAATTTTAGGCTCAGTTCAACCATATCATTATTTATTATAGTTTATGCGAAAGAGGAAGGAGATAAACTACTAATTGTGGATTATGCCGTTTATAATTTTTCAATTTTAGCGTTTCGCACGTATAAAAAGAGGATGAAGGTTGTTGGAGTGATGAATTTCTTTTTTTTTTTTTTGATAATTTTTCAATTCATTTAAGAAATATTATAATATATATAATTTTTAATTTTTAAAATTATTTTAATTCGAACTCGTATGAATCAAAATTTTCAATTCTAATATCGTAAGATTAATAATCGAACTATAATTATTTTGATTGAAACTAAATGCAATTCGTATTTAGAATAACTTATTAAATACAATTTTTTGTTGGCATACACCGAATTTCAAATATATGTAATTATATGTACACATACTTGCGTATTAGTAGGTAATTGGAAGCTTAACATGTGAAGACATGAAATGGGTTGGGTGAGAAATGTAGTCCATCATGAGCACCTTCAAAAATTATTCTCTTTGGCATTCATAGAATAAATGTAATTATTTTAAAATTGTAAATAAAGATTTGAATATGAATATATGTCCTCCACATGATATTATATTTATAGAATGTGTTGATTAGATTTAGATTCATTGAAGCAGCTTATAATCCCAATAAATATTTAAAAAATTAGGGTAAGATGAGATTAATTATTAAAAGAAATAGCAAATAATACGGAGGACAAAGGGACATAATGATTATTGTAAGTCCAAAATTTTAAAAGCACAATAAATAATGAGACAAAACTCGCAAAAACATTCCTTACAAACATTTGTTTATCTGTCCCAAATGATGAATTCCTCTCTATCCAGCATGCCTTGAGCGTGCCGCCTTAAACATTATTTTCACTATACACATGCTTCACTTTTGCTACAATATTAATTCTTCCACTTCCCTCCCCTCCCCTCCTTTCTTTTCTTATAATAAATATATTCTATATATACACTGCTTATTATATAATTATTATAATAAAGTTTAGTGATGAATATGTTTTCGTTAAATTATTTAGTATATAACGCATTCTAATAAGTATGTTAAATTCTATATTAATTATATGTATATATATAAAAAAAAAAAACTAATAAATGTAATAACTTAAAAAGATTTATTACGAATCATTAGAAATATGAAACCAAAACATTAATTTTATTTATCTTAGTAGAAATATAATTACGAAATATAAATTTTAACAAAGTTGGAAAAAGACACACTTGTTATAGTATGCGTGAGTTTGTTCCGTGTTTGTGAGATAGAAGTAAAATTCATACTATAATATTTTTTTGTTCAATACATGGGTTATGATCGATAAAATTTTTCTACATTATCTCTCGTGTGTAATAATTATTGTGAGCATCCAAAAAGGCATTGCTAAAGTTTTTTCAATGAAATGTTGCTATTCTCCTCTCCTAATAATCCGTTGAAAACAATAATTAATATGTTGTTTCAAGAAACAACACTTTATTTGAATTTTAATTCAACCACATTTTCTAAGATGTTGTTCGTTTTTCTTATAACAAGTGGTGAAAATACTAGCAATCTTTTCATTTCGTCTTATATTAGAGAAGAGATTAAAAGAAAATTGAATTCACATTATATAAGTGAGGTATTTGAAATTATTAGTTAGGGTAGAACATCAACGTTTTGGAAAACTAATTTGTTTCACCATCTACCAAATCACTCAAGAAATGTTCTTGTAAAATTGGAAGATATGTTATTCTTTTATATAAATGAGATAAAGGATTAATATTACAAATTTATCTTATTTTTAGGTTCTATGTTTAACCAAAAATGATTTATTTCGCATTATATTTGCATACTAGCATTATCTCAATTTATGTTTGATGATCTCCTCTTGTTATTTGTATATAGTGAAAGTTATATCAATATTTAGTATTCTTAAAGTTGAAATTAACTTTACTATGAGTATATGTTTTATCATGTCCCGTGAAAAATGTGCTACTTTTGAAATAATTTTATATTTTTAGATATACTTCCAGTAGTTTTGTAACACTCAACTATTTTCATTATTTTATTTTATTTTATTGAAAATAATAATAATAATAATAATAAAAGGTAAAAATTATTTAGGGATTTAATTGAAAATAATTTTGGAAAAATTGGGTAAAAATTTAGGTTATAAGGGTATTTTTAAAAGAAAAATTGGAAACCATAGAGTCAAAATATAATTTAGAAAAGTTGTGTCATGTCAGCTGCCCGGTCAGCAGCCCCGACCAACCAGGACGCGCCAAGTGGCATAGACACTGACGCGGGAGGCCATGCGAGAGGGAGCCACGTACGTGATCCGCGTGCGCGGGATCGAACGGCTGAGATCCGTTCCTGCGCGCACGGACGACCCAGATTGAATCGCGATGAACAGCCCAGATTCACTCCCTATTTAATCGCGATCGGACGGTCCAGATTAAAAATTTTGGACGGCTCAGATCAAAAGCGGATGGGTATAAATAACCCCATTCGCACCCAAACCCTAACCCTAGCCGCTAGAGTCCCTCGCCGGAGAAGATAGCCCAGCCACCGGGGAGCTGACCGCCGCCACCCGCCGCCGTATCAGAGCAATTTTCGGCTGCCAAACGAGGTAAAAATTATACCATTTGCTCAGAATTTGATTTTAAACCCACCTATGGCCAAATCGGAGCGAAAGCATCAGCCAATTGGCCAGAAAACGTCGTTGAAGCTCAACGGCGCCGCTGCAGGGTGTTTCGATTTTTGCCTCCGATGAGGCCCTTTTCGATTTCCGTTCGATGTGATTTTTTCACCATTGTGATCACCGTTTTCTCCTCTACAGGTTGCCCGGAGCAAAACACCTAACCGCAACGTGAACCGAATGAGCCGTCACACCGGAGAGCCACACTGTTGGTGAGTTTTGATTTTTTACATTTTTTGGCCCACCGATGGCCCTAAGTGTGTTTTCTCACGGGAACCGATGTAAGTTTGGCTGAATTCTGCCGAAAACAGCCAATCCGAGGTGGATCGCCATCACAAGCGGCAGTGTCATCGCCGGAGCATGGCGGAGCCGCCGTGCCAGAATTTTGAAATTGACCGAGTGGGCCCTGTGTCTAATTTTTGGGTTATTTGGGACATGTGTATATACCGTAAGCGCATTTCAGTTCCCGAAAAAAAATTTAGGGAACCGAGGAACCGCTCGTAGGTGCAGTGACAATTTAGTTTTCGACGTCGAATCAAGTAAGGACCCCTCACCCTATTTTCTATCATGGAATTGAAGTTTGAATAAATTTTAATACTGTATTTTGTACAAATTAAATAGGTATACATAATTAATTACAGATTGCTAATGGAGCCCGAACCGGACATTATTCTCTGTCGATTCCTGTTTGATTTATTTTACAATTTAGATGCATTATGGTATTTGATTTATCTATTATATGATTTTAAACGTATGTATCACTGCTTACTTCACTACCGTTTGATTTTGAAAATCTAAGATATGATTGCATTATTGGATGCACGTTACTTGTTTATGTATTTATGTTTGATTTGGTGATGGAGACTAAGAACAAATAGGAATGGGATGTGATTTGATAAATGGATGAGATGACAACCTCACTAGATATCCTAAGAGATGGTGGACGGACCGGGTTCATAGGGAACCCTAACGTGAACGTTGTCTCATACCAGACGGGGTATGGAGACTTGGTCATTTGGCGCTTATACCGGACGGGGTATGGGGACGGCCTGCTTCATCCTCATACCGGAAGGGGTATTGAGGTTTAATGTCTTGGCACTCATACCAGACGGAATATGAGGACAGTCCTGGAATTAAGATTGTTAAAATAAAGGGTTCAAGTGTAGCGGAGACACCCCTATGGATCCCCATGAATACTAGTAGGCTGGTGAAATGAGAAATGGTGATAATCAGTTATTGTTAATGAATACGGATTTATGATATATTTTATGTTACTGATTATGCATGAAATTGTGATTTGTATGATGTTATTATCTTTATAGGTTGTTTTCACAAGTTCTCTAATGGTAAGAAAAATGGTAAATAGTTTATTTTAAATAAATGTATTGTTTTAAAATTTGTGCTATATTGGTTGTTTTGTTTGTTTTCTACCAACCTTTACTTATGTAATGGTGATGTAGTGTGATGTCCTTACTGGATTAGTGTAACTCATTCTTTATTTAACCATTTTAAATTAGAAGGACCTAGTTCCCGAACCCGATCCACAAGAAGACGGCGAGTAGATGTTAGATGTTTTATAGTTTCATTTATTTTTCTCATTTCTTATATTTCTTTTAGAGAACTTATTCCGATGTTGTTTAGTACTTTTAACTTATTGTGTAAGGGATGTTAACTTTAATCTTTTATTTTGCTTCCGCACTCAGATTATTATATGTATTTCCTTTTGAATTTCAGGGGTCGTTACAAGTTTTTTGTGTGTATTCAATATAATGATAATAATTAAGTTGAGTTAAACTTATTTTCTATCAAGCCTCTTAAAATAATCTAAACACAAGAGTTATACTATTAATTTTAGAACTATACTATACTCGACCCTTTTTTTGTTAGGTAACTATTTAAAACTGTAAATTTGCATAGCCTGATTGTCTCATAATCTCCATCATAACTCTTTTACAATGAGATTTTTCTTTGTAAAAATGCTTTGCTATATATAATACTTAGCCTTTAGTAGATAAGTCTAAAAAAATCATAGTCATTAACTTGATTATAATCCTTTGCAATGAATATGATCTTACAATGTTTAGTTGTTTCATCAATGTTGTACTTAATTGTGAACATACAATGAGAATTAATGACTTGTTTAGTAAGAAAATATTAATGATATTTAAATATCATTAGATTCACGAGCATTAAAAGTTGTATGACATTAACCCATTTAAGATCCTTTAGAGTATGTTAATTAAATTATGATCATTAATTAAAGATGTAGGCGAAAAAAAGTCATTATGGCACTAAGAAAAAAACATATATATGATAAATAACTGCCAGTAGCATAAAACTTGAGAAAATCGAATATATAGTAGAATAATTAGGTTGGTTGCTTTGGAAAATTTGCTATGTATTTTGGTAGATATTTATCTTGAATAAGCCTAATAAGTATAAGCAAGTATGAGATTTTATTTGTGTCTAAATATGAACTTACAGTAATGAGTAATAGTGATGATGAATTCATGACTAAAATTGATAGATGAGTGACACTGTTTTGACCATGTAACTTTGGTGCAGTTAAATATTATTGATAATTAAAAATGACATAATGAGACATCAATTTTTTTTTTTTAAATTTCTCAATTCATATGACTGACAGCTATTTCACTCAATTAGATTTTAACAAAAATACATTTATTTATATATTTTGATTTAAACATATTATAAGCATAACAAATAAATATCCACTAGTGTTAATAAGACTAATGTATAGAATTGTAATAAGACCTACAGAAAATATTTAATGTTCGGGCGAGATTGATTAAATAGGGTTAGAGAGCATATTTTTCTAAAATTTCAACAAATAACGTGACATGAAACTTGTGTCCAAAAAAATTGAATTAATGATGATGATGTTTCCTTTCAATACTATAAAGAATGTTATCATATATGAGCTAACGAACTTGCTATTTATATAAATATAATAACACTGCAAAGTTTTAGATAAAAAAATAATTATGAAAAATATTAAAAAAAATTAATATGGCGTGAAATAAAATTACTAAAAAAAAAAAGACTTGTAATATAACCTTAATTTTTTTAAAAATAAAAATTTATTTAAAACAATAAAAATTTAATTCTTGCAATAAAAATTAAAACTCAGTATTTTATTGGGATAAGTCAACATTCAATAAATGATATGATCAAATTATTCGTATGGAAATCAATAATAAAAATTCATAAAAATTAAACTACTATCTCACACCAGCGCTTGCACATGTTTTAGATTGCATGATGTGCTTCTCATGACCATCATTACTGGTGCATCTAACCACATCACAACCGTTAATTCTCGAAAGGTCACACCAAGACTAGATGAGTGGTTTTGATCAGTGTGGGGGGCCCCCAATGGAATAATCGGTAGGACACGTGCTAAAGATCCAGGAGAAAGGGACACCATATGACGTGTGTGCCCCGTGTACCCAAAAAAAAAAAAAAGAAAAAAACAAATTTGAGAAAACTATTAAACCACCTATCCTATTCGGCCTTGTTCATGCAAGGTGTCATGGGTTTGTTTCCCTTTTAATTTTTTTTTTAAAATTTATAAAAAAATGAATTTATTATATAATTTTAGCGGTAGGATACGAATCTTATAATGAATTAGGCAATTATAATTTTATATTATGGAATTTTTATTTCCTGGGGGTAGATGCAGCCTTAAATACTTTACAGCTTATTCATATTTGGTAGTACTGAGCCATCCAACTTTCATTTCTCATCATGTGTGTGTATGTATGTATGTGCAAACATTAGTACTCAGCTATAATTGAGGAAGAAGGGAGAATTTATGTCATTTTGCATTAACAAAGTCAATGCTCAATACCCAAGCGAAGAAAATGTTAATTTAAAAATAAAAGTTGACAAAACGCATGACAGACTGATCGATTGATTGATTTAAGTCCACATGATTTGAATACTTTTTTTTTTTTTTTTTTCTTCTTCTTTCAAGTGGGTCCCAGAGTATAGTACTGATAAACAAGTGCATGGAGTAGCAGAATTTGTATGTTTTTGGTCACTGCTTCACTCCATGCTCTTCCTGTTTGCTGTTGCGTTCACTTCCCTACACAATTATACCTGTAAGAGACGATTGCTTTTTACATCACTCTTTTGCTTTGTCACTGTTTTTGTGTAAAGAAAACGTAAAGCTAACGCTTTCTCTGTTCCCGGCTCTTTCTATCTATCTAATCTAATCTAAATCTAATCTATCTACCAAAGGGTCATAGTACCTTGTGGGTTTTGAAATCCTTTAGTGGTGTAGTCCCTTTCAAAGTCCTCTCTTGAAATGATCCTCAATCTACCCTTTTACTTTTTACATATAATCTTTTTCAGCTCACCAATCTCTGATCTCAATCTCTTAAATTTCTATGTTCTCTCTGCCTTTTCTTGAGCGCTGATCGTTGGGTCATTCCTATTTTCACTTTCAAGATTACAGATAAAAGAAAAGAGGAGCTATGAAGGAAAGAGGTAAGGCTGTGGAATTGTACAACAGCGACGTCATGTTCCCGGATTGTTACTCTTCTTCATCGGATCTTCCCTGCAAGAAACACCCATCATCGTCGTCTGTAGGTATCTGCCCTTATTGCTTGAAGGATCGATTAGTGAAGCTGGTCTGCTCAGATTGTGGAGAGCAGAGGTTGTCGTCCTGCTCCTGTTCTGAGATCTCTTCAAATCGCAATTCTTGCACTGTTGAGGTGGGCAGCGTGGGTCGCATCTCCTTTTTAATAGAGAACGAAAGAAATATTAACGAAGCCCCAAATCTAATTCCCAAGTCCAAGATCGGCAATGGAGATAAACCAGAAGAGGTTTTCTTGCTCAAAAGAAGCAGTAGCAGCTGCGTTGAGATCAAGAGAAAAAACGGGTTTTGGAAAATTGGGAAGCTGTTTAGAAAAAGTGGTAAACGGGAGAAAGATGGCGTTAAAAGCGTAGCTGGATATGATGATCAGAAGAGTGATTTATGGGTTGTGGATTATCTCGGTGTGTCCAGGTCCAGGTCTCTTTGCAGTTTCAGAGGAGGTGGGTTTTTGGGGTCTGAAGATGGAGGCGATACGATGGCGTTTTCAGGCGCTAGGAGTTCAATATCAGCAGCTAGAAGCTCTAGCGTTAATGGAGGTCTAGGGTTTGATTCAGAGAGGAGAAGTGGGTTCAGCGAAGCCGAGCCAAGAAGAAGCGGGTTTGAAGGAAGGAAAAGTGGGTTTAGCGAAGCCGAGCCGAGGAAAAGCGGATTTGAGAGTGAAAAGCGAGATAGCAGTGTTTTGGAGTGTGATACAACCGGTTTTAATGGCGGAAACAGAAGGGTTTTTTCACTGAAAGAAACTTACTTTACTGGTGGGGAAGATTCAGGTTTTATCGATTTAAAATTTGATTTCCCATCAGAATCAAACAACAAAGCAGCTGATTATTATTCAGCTGCAAAAATGTCAGATTCAAACTCTGGTTTCTGCAGTATGAGATGTAGTGATTTAATGGGACCCGAGCAATTTGGGAATGAAATGATAAGTCACACAGGGTCCTGTAGAATTACGGTGAGTGAACGGGGGATCAAGAAGAGCAGGAAAAGCTTCAAGAGCTGGAGATGGATTTTCAAGCACCACCCAAATTGGATTAGTGGTGGAAGGAAGAAAGATAATGAAGATATCATGGTTAATCCTTGATTATTATTATTATTATTATTATTATTATATAAATGAATAAATCTTTTGTTTGAATCATAGTTGATTAATTAATGATTTTGTGTAGGTTAAATTAATTTAGGATAAATCTTAATCTTATGTCTATTTTGGTGTTGTTTTCATAATTCATTTGTATTTTAATATCTTAAACTTAGTTACCTTGAGATTAATTAAGGGATGAGAATACTGCAAAAGCACAGATACTTCTTCAACTTATTGTCCCAGTTTGGACACCACAAAATGAATGGTTAAATTTACATGTTGTCTTAATTAATTATTACTCCCTTGTCAATTAACTAAAATATTCATTATTAATACTTTTGCAATTTAATGGGTGCCTTCTATTTATAAAGTTTAATTTTGTTGTATCAATTTTTCCTCTAAAGAACTTACTTTATATATATAATCTTATTTTTTTTTCCATAAATTTTTAATGTTTATTGGTAATAATCATTACAAAATAAATTATCATAATAATTTCTTATTTAATTGGCTTTTACAATATGGTATTTACTAATATCTCTTTCAAAATTTAAAGTAAACTCGATCAGGCTCTTATAAGCCCAAAGTGCCAACTCAATTGGACCAACCCAATCAAAGATGGTTACTTTTTTCAAAGGTCCAAGAAAATTTGTATGATAATTATTATTATTATTATGGCAAAACCCTAAAAATCTGACTGACTCTACATTAATAACATTCAATAAAATTTTCATTTTTGCCACTGGCCCATCAAGAGCCCCCCCCCTCTCTCTCTCTCTCTCTCTCTCTCTCTCTCTCTCTCTCTCTCTCCCTTCTCCCCTGGGATATATATAACTCCCACCAACTCAAAATCTTCGCTCCCTCTGCATCCACTTCCGTTCTCTACACCGTTCTAGAGCGGGAAAAAGAGAAAAGTCGAAACGGCAAACATTTGATCCAATAATCAAACTTGGTTTTTCTTGCTTCTGCCTTTTGTACTGTGGATTCCCAAATGGCGAACCTAATGGGTGTCGATGAGGATCAGCAATGGCTGCTAAACTGCTTGTCTGCTACCCTCGACCTTAACCAGGAAGTTCGTTCCTTTGCCGAAGCTTCGCTTAATCAGGCCTCTCTTCAACCAGGTTTTATACTTGCCCATTTCTCTTTTGATTTTTACGATAAATTCTAGATTTGTATAATCGGGCAGAATTCTATGATAATTATTGTTGATGTTGTCTTTGACTAATTCGTCTGCCATGGTACTTGGAATTGGATAGTGGATTGATTAAAATTTTATGCGGAGATTAGTGGCATTTCAAATTTTAGTTCCCATAAAACTGGAACCAATTGAGTGATACAGAGTGCTATAATGTTGATCTGGAGTATCCTGAGCTCTAGGTCGTATAGATTTTATTGTTGTATCTTGAACATGGATGGCAATAATCATGACAGAAGCTATTCCTGTAACAGGATCGCCTTTGGTAGAATTATTATGCTCTAGTGCCATTGTTGGACAATCAACTTTTATCTGTTTCTGTAGTTTACATACTTCTGTATCGAACTGATATATAATAGTTCGTTGCTTGCTTGGCCTGTAGGTTTTGGGGCCGCATTAACGAAGGTTGCTGCTAACAAGGAGCTTCCATTAGGACTGCGCCAGATATCCTTTCTGACATTGCTTATTTTTTCTTTTAATTGCTTGTTAAATTTTCCTATTTTAAGAGAGGTGCTCTTCTTGGTATATTCTTTTTATACAAGGTGAATGTAGTTATATGCTTATGAAATTCTAATATTGCGGGCAGGAGTAGTCTTCCTTGACTTATTACTTTTAATAAAAGCCAAATAATGGAGCTCCTTTGCCTTCTTGCTTGAAGGAGATCTGTATATGACATTTATCATCATCCTGCATTTTTTTAACTCAGTTCCGTATTGGTAAAATAAATGAACAGTAAATGTTTTAGCCTGTTCTGTTTCCTACTTTTTTTCCTCTTTTAAATGGAAGTATTATAACTACATTTTGCATTTTGAGTCTGGGTGAAGTTTCTCATGTACGGCATATTTGAGATTTTGTTGATTATTTGAAGACTTAACATTCTTTTACCTGGCTGCCGTCCTTTTAAAGCAATTCATTAAGAAACACTGGCAGGAGGGTGAGGATTCTTTCGAACATCCTGCTGTTTCAAGCGAGGAAAAGGTATCCAGAAAAGCTAAATTTATAGAATAATCTGCCACATGCTTGAATTACATCCCTTGTTAATAACATAACTTGAAGTTTTGTTATGCAGTAGAGCAATGAATTTTCTCTTTCAATTTTCACTTCAGCTCCATGTTTGTTGGTAAATTGTTTCTTTTTCCTTGGACTGAATATCTGCTAAAGTGCAGTTTGGTATGTATTTCAAATAAAATAACATTTCAAAGCTTATCTTAATTTTTTGAAGTGTTTGGAAATTGTATGGTTGTTTGGGTTTTTTTTTCCTTTGTGTTGTATCTTTTCTCCATACTCTCTATAGACAGTCATGGATTTATTGCCCGCAATGGATAAATGAAGTATCAAATTTACCCTATTCCAGATTGGTGCATCAAATGAACTTGAAGAACTAGGTTATTGTATGAGTTATAATCTATTTATTTTCACCTTCCATATGTGAATTTATATGTGATTGAGTCTTGTTGTATCTCTTCTAGGCCTGTTTCTGATTAACTTGCAAAGGCTTTGATTAACTTGTAAAGGCAAAGTCATATATGTAGTTCATATCCTATATGTTGTGGGTTAATAAGAAGTGAAAAATGGTTTTTTTTGAGCCTCAGCTGTCCCAAGGCCCATATCATTTTTGATTATTTTTCTCTCTTCTCTCTCTGCCTTTACCAAGTCATTATGTCCTGCCGACCTTCAAAGTAGGTTTTATGAGTTGCACCGTTTACATATCAGGATCTTATTTTGTTCTTTTAGATTACTGTGTTTGTGCACTTGTCACAAAGAGGTTTTGCATGCACGACTACAAGGTCATCGACCCAGATTACATATATTTTCCTATATATCTTCAAGGATGCCATGTTAAGATTCTGTTTTCTAGTTGTTGAACTCTGTGGTTCATAATGATTTGGTTAGGTGTGATAATGTTTTTTACTATTTTCAATCTGTTTGGTTATTATATGATAGATAAGCTTAATGCCACATTATATTTCTATTTCCTAGCTGTTGTTCCTTTTGCAGTTCATAATGATTTGTCGAAGTCGTAATCTTGGTTTTGACTGTTTGCTGCATGTTTGGTTATTGTATGAGCGATAAGCTTACCTTTTCAAGTAGCAGTTTAAAAATGTGTTCGTATGTGGGCAGTTTTTAAGTTGTTGTTGGTATTTGTCTTCTAATCTGTCATTATGCTGTTGGGGCACTTAATTGTTGTCAAGGCTTGATTTTCATAAACTCTTGATGGCCATATATCTAATTTATTTATGGTTGCATTATTAGGCTATTATACGTGGACTTCTTTTGTCATCAGTGGATGATTCTCAGAAGAAAATCTGCACGGCAGTTAGTATGGCTGTAGCATCTATTGCAACCTATGACTGGCCCAACGGTTGGCCTGAACTATTGCCATTTCTCATTAAGTTGATTAGCAATCAAAACAACATGAATGGAGGTCAGTCTCTTGTATCTTAATATGCCAATCGATGCATATCAGTCTTTACTCATATAAGTTAGCATTACAAGAATTGTAATATGTCAAAAAGGAAGTAGATCAACAGGTTAAAAAGGAAGTGAATAAGAGTATTAAAAAGGAAGTAAATTAGAGGGTTACAGAGGAAGCAAATCAGGCTAAAGAGTAATACGCCATTTGTAACTAATTATAATTAATTGTTTATTTCGTTTTCCATCATAAAAAACTTTTATATATAAAGTTGTAATATTTAGTGCAATACACATCAATAAAAAAACTATTATAAACATGATATCAGAGTATTAGATTAAGAAATTTATTAACTTTTTCACAAATTATATTCGGTTTTTATTGTCGAAATATAAAAAATTGCAAAAAAAGGGTCAACTTTTATATCCGGCCACCACCCTCCTGCCACCGGCCACCACAGGATTGGCCACCTCTACCACCAACTGGCTTCCATAGTTGGCCTTAGAAGCAGCCGCTGCTCCTTGCAGCTGCCACCTAGCAGCCTAGTGCACCTCCCGGTTTGGCCAGAACCAGCTGCTGCTCCCTGCAGCCACTAGTTATCAGGCGCAAGCCGTGACTCCTGCCGTGCTCATCTCTGTCCAATTTTGCGTCAGCAGTTGTCCACAAGCCTAAACTCTGCCCAGATGTGAGCGTGCCGACCACCAGTACCTCTATCGTGAGTCCGATCCAGTTCTAAGCCAAACCGTGTCAAGGTAGAATCGTCGAGTTGACTCAGTGAGTTCCTAGTCTGAATTGTCTCAGTAAGCTTCAGGTCC